TGACAGACACAGGCTGGAGCCGCTTCCTCCCATCGACCCCCAACTCACGCTCCTGACAGACCTTCCCCCCTGCCCCACGCGGGGTGGGGAGCCGCTTTCCCCACGGATGCCAGGCAGAACACAACAGCGTCAGTCAGTTGACAGCGATGACGAAACGCTGAGTTGCCACCACCGCCACAGGGTCTGTGTGCAAGGTACCACCGTCCCTGCGTTCAGACAAGAAAAGCGGCGTGTTCCCAGGGAACAGTTCTCCAGCCACAAACCTGTGAGAGACAGGAGACCTCGCGTAACGCAGCCCAGCTCCCGCCTCTTCGCTGGAGATCCCGAAGTATTTCATTTTCAGAGGTATTTTCAAATACCTCTGCTACGCTTCAAGACGGGAGGGACAGGCAGGAGAGCCTTGGTCCCCTGACGCAAAGGCTGGAGTTAAGATCTACCTCCCTTCAAGCAAGTGCTATTTATAGTAGGCTGAGTTTGGGCATCTCCTAGACTTTGAAGACTTGAATGAGTCTGGGAGGGAAAGTTCCGCAGGAGGTGAACAGCATGGACTGACGCTACCTCTGGACCCCGTTTGCTTGTTTATTTGTCCCGGGGAGCGGGTGGCTCGGGTCGCGCCGCATCTTGCTTTGACACCCTGGTTTCTCATACAGAGACCCCCCCCTTTAAAAGGGGCTCAACTCCCCTCCACCAAACCAAACGCGCTCGGACCTTGCAACAGCGGATGGAGTCAAAAGCAAAACAAATTCTACCCGTTTTGTTTTTGAGCAGGCTCTTTGATTTCCGAGAAGGGAGAGAATTGCTGCTGCTATAGAAACAGCAGCCACCAAGCCGCTGGCCACGCTTTGCTGCGGCAGAGCTGGAGATTGCTCCAGTTGCGAGATGTGCCACGGTCCACGTCCGACCGCCGCTACCAGCCTACAGGCTGTTTGTCAGGCCACGAAAATACCTAAAAATACCAGCCCATGCTCTGCTTCAAACCTTCTCAAAGCAGATACTTTTCACCCAAGAGGTACGAGCTGGCAGGACATGTCAGTAGATAGAATATTGCCCAGAAATGCTCCTCATTTCTTCGTAAGGCAAAACCCGTTGGAAACGTGGTGCCGCTTACCCCACCTCCGCCCGGTTCGAGTGTGGGAAAGGGACCCAGCTCCTCTGCACTAAACCTGCGGGTTGTAACATCACAAAACGACATTCACGGCTCAAAGAGCAAATACCTAAATCCTCCTTCACTCCCGAGGGCTTTAACTGTCCTCCATCACCTCTGCAGACACTCACGGCAATACCATAACCCCGGGGCTACCAAAAAGATCTGTTCGGATACCGAAGCGGTAATTACTGTTCTAGAGAGAAATGTCAAAGATTTTGTTAAAGAGAGATCGTTTTGGCAAGCAGTTTAAATTAGAAAGAAAAAAAAAAAAAAAGCTGAGTAACCAAGTGAAGATTACTGAATTTCCTTAGGAAAAACCCACTCATGTTGTAAACTGCAGTAATTAAAAAAAGCAAACAAATAAAACGCTGTATTTATGCAGTGATTTGAAGAAGCTGTTTAAAACCCAAACAATAATGTGTTTGCCAAGAAACGTGTATACGTACTAGATTAATTCTTTACGATGAGTAATTGAATTTATTGCACATAATTAACCAATAAGTGTAAAGTTCTGATATTTCAAGTGTTCCATTACAAAGAGAGAACAAATCTAGGTTTGTTTTTTTTTTTTACCATCCTTAAATTTTCAGGCAAGCTATTTAAAACCAGCGATTAAAACACCGCAGACACCCGACCTGAAGGGTATTTCTATCAGCTTTCACTTACTGTGCCCTGCCGAGGGAAGCAACCCGCGGGGCCGCA